TAGCATTAATCGAATAAGATAACTAATGTAATCATGTTAACAATTTATAATCTGATTAGAACCTCCTTTATGTGTGGTTTTCAATTGAATAATAAGAGTTTATATTATACTTGTTTGACATACCATTAGTGTATCCTCTAACCTTGACATTTATTGTTATCATTGTTTAATCCCTATGTTAATTTTTCATCTCAAAATTCTCATCAACTTTTTCTTTTTCTTTTTCTTTATTATTACTACTACTACTACTACTACTATTACTACTATTATTATTACTGCTACTATTACTATTATTATTATTATTATTACTACTACTATTATTTTTATTATTATTGTATTTATTCTTACTATTGTTGTTGTTATTGTATTATTGTTATTTATAATTTATACAATTAATCTCCCCGTGGTTCGACCCTGGTTTTGCTGGGTTATTTATTACTTCGACTCTTCTATACTTAGAAAAAGATATCAATTTTCTGATCGTATCAATAACTATTTTTTATAATCATGATGAAAAAAGTACATTAAGTGTAATCCAATCCAAGTCCAAAACCTCTTATACACCTACTCTCACATACCAAAATAAAAAACCTCTCAATCATTATACCTTAGTAATTATAGATCAATACCAAAATAAAGAACCTCATACCTCATATATTTATAACAAAAAAAAAAACTAATAAAAAAAAATCTTTTACAAGCTGGCCAAACATGGTGATCAAGTTTACTTTTTCCTGCTCCTGGAATAGAAGCCACAAACCCAACAAAAAGTGCTTATAGTTTTCATGTTGAAGGATACGGATACAAACAAACTAAACTAAATTCTTGATGTTGCATATCTCTAATACTTTACACTTCACTTCTAATTTGAATGCTAATTAAGATCAGTTGTTGATTAAATTCATATTAATAGTTCATTATTAAATATCATATTCATGACAGAGAACTCTTCACTGTTTTCAATTAAGACTTTCCCAGAATTAAATAGGAAAAGAATTGATCTTATGAAGTTTAAGAGAAATTTCCTACGAGGTTCTTAACCTTGCAGCGATAATCACCTCTCATCTTGAGAAATGGAACATCTCAGATTTCTATGGCCTAAAAACGATCATGTCGGATAATAATGATGCTGAGCTTTTGCGTGATCAAACGAATTAACCGACACAAAGCACGCTATTTTCAAGAGGCAACCACAAGCTTAATTAGCATCAAGCTGGACGACAAGCCCTCGGGCTCTAAAATTCAACTAGCACGCACTAATCTCATAGTTTATTACGCTCAAACATTGATGAAAGTTGATATGATTTAGCAAATCCAGGCAGTAATCACCTGTTCATGTTCCTTAAGCTCTTGATTTGATGCTAGCTCATGGCTCTTTGGGAACTATGCACATGCCTTGTCATTCACCACTATCTCTCCTTTCTTATACATGTAGGCCCTGGAGCAATGTTCTATATGAAAAAATATTCCAACTTTATCACTTGGTAGAAGTTTTCACTTCTCTTTGCGTTTTTTTTATTGTTTATATCCGAGTTCTTAGTTAACTTGCTTGCACGTAATTAATTAATTATCATCACTAGGCCAACACCATCTAGTTAGGTAACCTAAAAGCAATATGGGAATGGGAACTTGAATGAGGAGGCAGGCTTTCCAAGTCCATGTGCTTTGTGAAACTAGTCAAATCGTGCATTTCAATATTTCTAGTCAAAATAAGAGGAACCTCCATGGGGTGTGCAGAGAGAACGTAATTCATAAAAAACATGAAATCTCCCGTTCAATATATATATATATATATATATATATATAATGATCTAAAAGGACTTCCCTGTGATGATATGCATTCGTAGAGGAATTTTAGTATGATGTTGTGTTTTTGTACATTATTGTGAGATCAAAAGTAATAATCACAAGAATTATATTAATGAATATTTGAAATAACTGAGTTTTCAATAATTGATATTGAAGTTTAATTATTTTTTTATAACTAACTTATTTCCTATAATCACTTAATTATATCTCTCAATTAAAATTAATTTATGCTAGAATTATATAAATTATACTTTAATGTTATATCTGTTATATCTGATAATTTAAGTTTTTGAATAAGATAATTTTTTAATATGAAATTAGAATATTGTTTATCAAGCTTCGAATTTTATTATTTTTAATTTATTTAATAAAAAAACTTATTTTATTTGATAAAAATAAACTTTTATTTAAAAAAATATATTAAAAAATTATATAAATTATATTTTAAGTATCGCTATCATCTTAGATTTCCAAGCAAGAATGAACATTGCATTCCTAAGATCAGCCAAGCTATATATATGGTATCACTATTAGCTGTCGAAGGAATAGCTAGGTTTCTATATATATATATATATATATATAGACACACACACACATATATATAAACATATATACATACATGGTGATGCTGGATGTTTCTGTTTATTAATTATACAGAAAGATTCTAGTGTCTACAAATAAAAGGAGAAAATTGTGCTTAGTCATAGATTATTAACTATGCTCAGCTACTCATGTTACATCAAAGATTAAGTCTTACGGAAATGTTGAATGATTTTTGTGGTCCTGCACAAAGTTTTTGACGACCACCAGTGCTGTGGGAAAACTCTAGGTAGTTCTCTAGCTAGCTTTGGTGTAAATCTTGGACTTTCTAACTAAAGTTACTGGTCTAGAAATATGCTTGATTGTATATTCAAATTACCCGTCGCATGCATGACAGTAAATATGGATATAAAACATCCATATTTCTGTCAGAATATCGTGGCATGCCTCGTGGCTAGCTTTGGTTCAATGCTCCAGTTCAACCCTGGAGACCACTTTCAAACTCTTGAAAGACATGGATATAGTTTCTTAATTGATTTTTCACTTTCAATAACCTTATTGTATTTGGTTATGTTATTTTAAATTGTCTTTTGAGTTTCCCTAGTTCTGCATGCAGCCAGGGAGCTGTAATATTTTTATTCAGGCAGCTGTTGGAACCCTAGCTTTGACTTGGGTTTGAAATCTCTATAAAACCAACATCATGCTTCCCAAGTCTCCTCTCTTTCTATTCTTGAAAAACAAGCATATACTCAAGAGAATAAGGAATCAAAATATGGTGTACAAAAGGTTTTTAGGATTAGCACTTGGGCTGCTCTTTGTTATGAATGCTGTATGGGGCTCTTGTGCATATGATTATCATGGTATCAATATTTCTTGCCATTTATTAAGTTTTGATGGAAAGAAAACATTACTAGAATTCATTTGATCTTTATTTGATTTTGTTTTGTAGATGGGGAAATGAAGAAAAAAGAGATTGCTGGGTTTGGAGAAAATTCAATGTCTGTTGATAAGGTGATTAAGCTTGTTGCCCCTATATAATTTCTCTCTTATGATGGTCTATCGTTTCTTAACTCGAGCATTGTCATGCACAGGAACTTCTCAGTGGTTTCAGCACTGCTAGAACTAGGAAGATGGGCCTTGGAGGGAGGAAAATGGCAGTTCAGAAAGAGTCAAGGAGAGAAACTGAGAAAGAACAAGGACTTCATGGAAAAGCTTCAGAAGATAATTCAGGTGCAAACTACTCTAACGTCAAATGTGACTTTCAAGTAAAGGGATCGGATTTTAATGTAAGACGTAAAGATGGAGACAAAAAGAAATCTCCTAAAATGATCAAAGGGCCTGGTTTTTTTGCTTTTGGTGATGATTATAGAGGACCTAAGCAACACCCTCCCAAGCATAACTGACAGAAGCGCCGAAACCCTTTAGTTAGATCCCTTTCTTCTGCAATATTCAGCTTGTAGGTATCCTAGCTAGGAGATATCATGTATAATTTTGATGCTTCAAGGAATACAATACAATCAATCCTTAATTAGGCATGCTTGTCTTTTTGTTACAGTTTCACAGTGCATTAATTTCTTACATGTAACCATGTGAAATTACAAATATTTGTTTAAAGCTTTGGTTCCAAGATTTTGGAAGCGGCCTGGGTTAGAATATGTTGAATATTTTGTTCATAGTTATCTCTGACTGCAGGGAAGAAGAATGATGCTTTAGACAAGTCTCTTATAGGATCAGAAGATCAAATTAATAATCAGGTCTCCTTCTATCTCTCCTTCTTTTGGACACACATAAAATCTTGGTATATTTTAATGTAAGCTCTTTCAACTAATTAATTAACAATAACCTTTTGTTTTTCCCACAGCAGAAGGATATGAGCAATTTGGAGAGAGAGACACTGTCTGCCAGATTGGGAACTCCAAGGACTGACCAGACAGTCCATCTCCCAAAGTCCAACTCCAAGGATTCCAAAGCGTTGCCAACCAAAACCAGCTTGGAAAGTCCTTCAATGGCTGACATTGACCAGGAACCTCAAGGTAGTGCTACAGATGATCCAAAAAGTGAAATGCAAAGGCTTCTTGATGCAACAAGAGAAATGGTCAACCTTATGAACAAAGATTACAGCACAAGACCTATCCGCAAGCCACCTATCAATAATAAAGAGCCCATTCATTGAGCACAAGACAGGCTCACAATTTTGTCCGCAGTAGGAAGTGAAGTCCTTTAATCAAATATAGCATAGAACTTCTTTGGTTTTGTTTTTAATGCATGGGTTATAAACGTAGGGCAAACTAGGAACACGGAAATATTGTTTGTTTAATTTTCTAACATATGTAGAAGCCTATAAGTTGTGTACATTAATCACAATTGTATTTTATAATCTCGGTAATAATTTGGACTAGTTGTCTGATCATGTCTCTTGTCATGGAAATATTCAGCATAGAATGGTGATGCTTTCAACTAGCCGATTTGATCTATATTTGTATATATATACTTTGTTAGATATTCCCCATCACACAGAAAATTAAATTACCAATCGGTATAGAACTTACATTTGTACAAGTTCTCTTAGAGTAGGAGAGCAAACCGATCTATCATTGATACAGGCCCCTGCTAAGACTGAATATACAGTTTCAGAAAGGTGATAACCATCAAAAAAGTAGTGCTGGTTCGGATTAGGGCACGGTTTTAGCTCAGGAATGCAAACAGAGGTCCCATTGGCCCAAGTTTGGCAACATGGGTTGCTTGAGTCAAGTAATCCTGTATTAACAACAGAACGTTACTTAGCAGAGAAAATCACAGATCCAGTGAGCCAGCCATAGAAATAACTGAAGAGTACTCTTACCATATTTAGAAGGATTGATAATTGCATCATAGCCTAGCCAATGCGCACGACTACGAACAAAAATGGAGTTGGGGAGAGTGGATGTCAAATTCTGAAGCATTCCAAGAAGATTATCGTTGAAGTAAGCAACAAGCTGGTTTGATTCTTCAACACATTTTCCACTATGTTTATTTTTCCTTGTCATTGAGGGGATGCAACCAACGGGTCCAATCTCATACATCACAACTTTCCTGGCTCCTAAACTGTGTAACCTCTGTTGATAGAAGATATATGTAAATATTTAGACATGAGAGTGTTGGCAAAAGCGATGGAAAAGTTAAAAAAAAAAAAAAACACATCAATCAGAATGAGTAACTAGAGATAGGAGAGGGCACCAGGCACCCTTTGGATTTTTATTCTTATTCATTCAAGTCCCAGGTTTTCGAAATCATTTTCTTCAATCCCTGCACCTCACAATTTGTTTAAATCCGGATCCTTAGTTCCAAATTTTCTTTTCGTTTTCAAAATCAAACATCTCTCTGTGTTTTCAACCACAATACCAAAAAGGAGAGTGTTCTGAACATATAAAAATAACATCTGCACTTCAAATTGAATCGATGAGTTATTGTTTTTTAAGAGTTTTGACATAATCGGATTTCTTATTCAGAATTCAAGGATAGATTTTCCACCAAGGGATTTACCCGGAATTGTGCTGATAGTTTATCCAGAAGGTGTTGAGCAAATGCTTGAGGAGAGTAATGTTTGCTTGTGTCAGATGTCTTGGGCTTCAGGTAGTTACTCATATAGTCATTACTGCCAATGCAAACTACAAAGATAGACTTCGACAAGTGCTCCGATTGCTCATTTGGCCTACCTTTGAAGTGCTTTGGCAAGCTTGAATTCACTGTATGCTGAAATAAATCAATCTGATCATCCAAACTCAAGCATTTTCCCTGAAAATTAACACAAATCAAAATGGGTGATTGATAATTAATTAACTCATTGTCAGTTTAGCTTGTCGATACTAAACTCCTAATTAGACTTCATTGAAGACAAATTAGTGAAGAGATTTTTTTGCTTTAATTTCACATAAATTACATTAACCCTTTTAACCTAGCAAAACTCAACTCAAAACTTAATTCAATTGGAGTTTAAAATTAAATCAAGTAAAATCATATTAACTCATTCAAGGTTTTAATAGCGTGGTTGACATGAACAAACCCTATTTAAACTTAGTATTATAATAAAAATTATAGATATAATACTACTATAAATCATTTAAAATAAACTAATCTCGCGATCGCATCTTCAGCTTATTAATTAACCCCGATCTTGATGCTTGCTGATGTCTCATGCACTCTTATTAATATTTTTTCTTTCTAGTTACACCTCTGAAATTGAATTGATATGGTTCTACGCAAAGTGTCTTAATTTCTAAGGAAATAATCATATTAGCATATGCTTTGAATGGTGGTTTGCCACGATTGTGGGAGGATATGCAAAACTGCATCTTCTTGCACGTAAATCCTTTTTATTAATTTTAAATTCAATTATAGAATTGACTCTCAATTAAAGAATTTGAAGTAGCATGTGACCCTGTTTTCTTAAATGTAAGCATGCAATTAATGTTGTTAATATGGTATTAAGCTACAAGCAACGATATATTTGCTTCGAGGCAGATATCACAGCTAGCTGGAGCCAAAAAGAAAAGAGAAAACAAAAGGTAATCTCTGGAATTATATATCTCTTGATTCCTAACACATGGATAAATGTTATTAGATTCAATGAAAAAACCATTAGCAAGATTCTTAAAACAAAAAAAGTCATATAGAGATGAACACTTGAAGGCTATCATGCACTTATATAATTAGAGTAATACGACATCCAATAATTCGTCATTAATTACTTTTCAAAGTTAAATGATAAAATAATTATCCATATACTTAGTGGCAAGGATTATGTATAGAGAACAAGAAGAATCATCGAAGGAAGATCCTCAGAATTTTTTTTTTTAAAACGACGTAGGAATAGATTAATTGAATTAGTTAATAACTTACCAAAAACTGTCCAGTTTCAGGAAGAATGCCACAAGATGCTGACGCGTAATTCAAACCAGTAACCGGTGTGGATATCCGGATGCTTATAGACGGCGGAGGATATGGCAGCCCCAGAAATTCAGCTACAAAACGTGTTTCAACAATGAGCATATACACATGTCAATGGCTATGAAACTCAAATGAACTTATTTTCTATGGTGCATGTTCTTGTCAGAATCTGTAACGTAAGAAAATAGCTCAATACCTATAAAATCTGGAACCAATCTACCATTACTGAATCTTCCTGTATCTCCTCTGACAAAATCAACACCATAAGGCTTGAAATTAGCCCTCGAAACGGTTGGCAAGAGATTGTTATTGCCGCTATCGAACAACGAATCGCCGAAGACGAACAGTGCTGGTGCAAGTGGTGCACCACAGGCCGAAGAGATGAAATGAAGGAGCCCAACAGAGAAGACGAATAGTGTAAAACCCATCACTTTAATATTCTCCATGTTCGTGTTGCAGAACTAGACCGGAGATAAATCTGTGAAGACAGGATAAGGGTGTCTACAAGGTGCTCAAAAAACCCTTCAAGACGTTTTCTTTTATAGGGGATTGGCCACTTGGAATGTGAAAGGGATTAAACATTGGCATGGAAGCTAGAACACAAACATGTAACTGATATTCAATGGTGAGACTTATTAATTATTTTTGCAAAACATATCTATTTAGTTTTTTGGGCAGGATTAATTGAAAATAGAATTTTGTATTCCCATATCTTAGCATCTATCTATATCAAATATTATCTTTAAAAGAAATAAATATTTGGTTGGGTTTATTACTGTCTCCAAATAGAAAAGATGACATTTACCCTAGTGTTTTAGTCTAAAATTTACACTTAGATTATTCTAAGGATATATTTATTTTATATCTTTCCTTGTTTTTATAATTAAATATATTTTTATTCTTTTTATATTTTTTTTTAACTTTCAAGAAACCATTTATTATTGTAGTAGTTGATTTTATAGAAAAAACTGTGTGGTTAGTCATGTAGCTTTTGTCTTTTATAATATGCTTAGTATATAAATTGTACTTGGTATAATGGTTGAACTATTATTTTGATGTTAAAATGTATTGATGTTAAAAATAAATTTTTTAAAAAATAATATTTTAAAACATTTCTAATTAGCAAATTTTTTTTTAAAATAATCTCTATTACCATCCCAAATACCTCTATAATTATTTTTAAACCTTAATTTTTTAGAAGTTACAATAACTTGTTTTTTCATACCAAAAAGCTTAATTGTTATTTATTTTATATGTAAAAATTAAATTTATAATAGTTTTAATCAAGTATTTATTTTTGAAATTTATATTTTTAAAATGTAATTAAAAACATTTTTCTCAAAACTAATTTAAAAAAAAATATAGCTGCGTGAGACTAAACTATCGTGGACCTAAAAAGAGAAAACAATTGTTACTGTACCATGACTGCTTAGGGTTTTGATCTTCATTACCGACCTTGTATTATTAGTGAGTGCTGATCATAGCAGCAATTAATGCCATTTATGAAACGTCTGGTTTCACATGATAAAGCTGGCCACCATTCCGTATAAATATGAGTTAATTAGAATGCAGTCCCTTTAGTTTATTATAACTAATTAGTCAGTCCCTACAGTATTAAAAATAAGTAGAAGGTCCTTTGACCAATGTTAGCCATCGTTAATATAGTATTTTATTTCAAAAATACCTCTTTTGCCCTATTCAAGTATTCTCATCTCGCCTACTTTTCGTTTCTTTTTTCAATTTCTCAAAAACTCAAATTAAATTAAGAAGTAATATGCATTTGACAGAAGGACTAAGTTATAAGTGGGTTCAAGATTAGAAGGATGAAAGGCTAGTTCTTGAAACTACAAGGACTAAATACTTTTCTACAGGGACTGATATTATTTTTCTTGGGACCCTAGTCTGAAAGCTGGAAGTCCGGCATGAAATGCCGGAGGTGACTACGAAGGGTGGCTGTGAACAGGAGAAATATAATTCTATCACCATCTAGCTATGCCATTATTAAAGAGTTTCAAATCAAAATTACTACTGAATTCAATGGAATAAATAAATAAATATTTACTACTTAAAAAAATCACTGCTTTATTTCAAAATAATTATGTAAAAACTTAAATGACGGCTTTTGATATCTTTTTTTTTAATTAATGTGAATATTGGGTTAGTTTGAACGTATTTCGACTAATCTCACGACCCCTTAAGTTAAAAATCATATGAGCCTCCAATAACTTCGAGGTTTGTGGGACTCGAATTGGTAATCTTTAAAGAACAAATCTAGAATTTGACCAATTAAATTACACCCATTAATTAAAATTAGCTTGTGATTTTTCATCTACTGCATGTGAATTGGAGGAGGCTTATGTTAAATGATTAAAAACTTGTGTTATTATATGATTTATCATTACAATTTGATTGGTGTTAAAATGTTTTATAGGTAGAAGAATATGAAAAGATAGAAGAAAGTTAGCAGAAATAGAATTAATGGAAAAATACTCAATATAACAAATATAGAATTTGACTAATTAAATTACACCCATTAATTAAGATTAGCTTGCGATTTTTCATCTACTGCACGTGAACTGGAGGAGGCTTGTGTTAAATGATTAAAAACTTGTGTTATTATATGATTTATCATTACAATTTGATTGGTGTTAAAATGTTTTATAGGTAGAAGAATATGAACAGATAGAAGAAAGTTAGCAGAAATAGAATTAATGGAAAAATACTAAATATAATAAATCTAGAATTTGACCAATTAAATTGCACCCATTAATTAAGATTAGCTTGTGATTTTTCATCTACTGCATGTGATGAACTAGAGGAGGCTTGTGTTAAATGATTAAAAACTTGAGTTATTTTATGATTTTTCATTAAAATTTGATTCGGGTTAAAATGCTTTATAGGTAGACGAATATGAAAAGATAGAAGAAAGTGAGCAGAAATAGAATTAATGGAAAAATACTCAATATAACAAATATAGAATTTGACCAATTAAATTACACCCATTAATTAAGATTAACTTGTGATTTTTCATCCACTGCATGTGAACTGGAGGAGGCTTCTGTTAAATGATTAAAAACTTGAGTTACTATATGATTTTTCATTAAAATTTGATTCGTGTTAAAATATTTTATAGGTCAACGAATATGAAAAGACAGAAGAAAGTTACCAGAAATAAAATTAATGGAAAAATATTCAATATAACAAATCTAGAATTTGACCACTTAAATTACTCCCATTAATTAAGATTAGCTTGTGATTTTTTATCTATTGTATGTGGTGAACTAGAGGAGGCTTGTGCTAAATGATTAAAAACTTGAGTTATTATAAGATTTTTAATTAAAATTTAATTTGTGTTAAAATGCTTTATAGGTAGAAGAATATGAAAAAACAAAAGAAAGTTAGCAGAAATAGAATTAATGAAAAAATACTAAATATAACAAATCTAGAATTTGACCAATTAAATTACACCTATTAGTTAAGATTAACTTGTAATCTTTCATCCACTGATGTGAACTAGAGGAGACTTGTGTTAAATCATTAAAAACTTGAGTTATTATATGATTTTTCATTAAAATTTGATTCGTGTTAAAATGCTTTATAGGCAGAAGAATATAAAAAAAGAAAAGAAAGTTAGCAGAAATAGAATTACTGGAAAAATACTAAATATAACAAATCTAGAATTTGACCAATTAAATTACACCCATTAATTAAGATTAGCTTGTGCTTTTTCATCTACTACATGTGGTGAACTAGAGGAAGCTTGTGTTAAATGATAAAAAACATGAGTTATTATACCATTTTTTTTATTAAAATTTGATTTGTGTTAAAATGCTTTATAGGTAGAGGAATATGATAAAACAGAAGAAAGTTAGCTGAAATAGAATTAATGGAAAAGTACTAAATATAACAAATCTAGAATTTAACAAATTAAATTACACCTATTAATTAAAATTATCTTGTGATTTTTCATTTACTGCATGTGGTAAACTAGTGGAGGCTAGCTTGTGTTAAATGATCAAAAACTTGAGTTATTATATGAGTTTTTATTAAAATTTTATTCGGGTTAAAATGCTTTATAAGTAGACGAATATGAAAAAACAGAAGAAAGTTAGCATAAATATAATTAATGGGAAAATACTAAATATAATAAATATAGAATTTGACCAATTAAATTACACCCATTAATGAAAATTAGCTTGTAATTTTTCATCTACTGCATGTGGTGAACTAGAGGAGGCTTATGTTAAATGATTAAAAACTTGAGTTATTATATGATTTTTCATTAAAATTTGATTTGTGTTAAAATGCTTTATAGGTAGAAGAATATGAAAAAAGAGAAGAAAGTTAGCAGAAATAGAATTAATGGACAAATACTAAATATAACAAATCTAGAATTTGACCAATTAAATTACACCCATTAATGAAAATTAGCTTGTAATTTTTCATCTACTGCATGTGGTGAACTAGAGGAGGCTTATGTTAAATGATTAAAAACTTGAGTTATTATATGATTTTTCATTAAAATTTGATTTGTGTTAAAATGCTTTATAGGTAGAAGAATATGAAAATACAGAAGAAATAGAATTAATGGAAAAATACTAAATATAACAAATCTAGAATTTGACCAATTAAATTACACCCATTAATTAAGATTAGCTTGTAATTTTCCATCCACTCCATGTGAACTAGAGGAGGCTTGTGTTAAATGATTAAAAACTTGAGATATTATATGATTTTTCATTAAAATTTGATTTGTGTTAAAATGCTTTATAGGTAGAAGAATATGAAAATACAGAAGAAATAGAATTAATGGAAAAATACTAAATATAACAAATCTTGAATTTGACCAATTAAATTACACCCATTAATTAAGATTAGCTTGTGATTTTTCATATACTGCATGTGGTGAACTAGATGAGGCTTGTGTTAAATGATTAAAAACTTGAGTTATTATATGATTTTTCATTAAAATTTGATTCGTGTTAAAATGCTTTATAGGTAGAAGAATATGAAAAAAGAGAAGAAAGTTAGCAGAAATAGAATTAATGGGAAAATACTAAATATAATAAATATATAATTTGACCAATTAAATTACACCTATTAATTAAGATTAGCTTTTGATTTTTCATCTACTGCATGTGAATTAGAGGAGGCTTGTGTTAAATGATTAAAAACTTGAGTCACTATATGATTTATCATTACAATTTGATTCGTGTTAAAATGTTTTATAGGTAGAAGAATATGAAAAGATAGAAGAAAGTTAGCAGAAATAGATTTAATGGAAAAATACTAAATATAACAAATCTAGAATTTAACCAATTAAATTACATCTATTAATTAAGATTAGCTTGTGATTTTTTATCTACTGCATGTGGTGAACTAAAGGAGGCTTATGTTAAATGATTAAAAACTTGAGTTATTATATGATTTTTTATTAAAATTTAATTCATGTTAAAATGCTTTATAGGTAGAAGAATATAAAAAAAGAGAAGAAAGTTAGCAGAAATAGAATTAATGAAAAAATACTAAATATAACTAATATAGAATTTGACCAATTAAATT